TATGTACAGTACCTAATTTATATATAATTTATATATAATACTAAACAGACGATAGCAAACTCAATTTAGCCGCTCCGTAGCGTGGCGCAGGGTCGGAGGAAAGTAGTTCGGCTGCTCATCCACTATTGGTCCAGACTCTATCAATCTTGTCGCGAAACGACATTATAGGAGGTACGTTATACGAAAGTTGCTACAATTTTTTCGCTACGTTATAGGAATTGTCGTTATAGGAACGTACGTTATAGGGGGGTCGACTGTACATTAAAATCAAACTACACATATCTAGAATACATATTAAAAAATACAAAGACATTTAACATGAAAACAATAAGTAGAATTTGGCAACAAAGAAAGCAATATCAGCTACTACCATTCAAACAACAGACGATGTGAAACTTTTTTCAACAAAACTAAAACAGGAACAGTTTGAAAGTTACTACCCTATAGAAGAGAAAAAGAACACTTTATACAATGATAAAATGTAAGTCCCAGAAAGCTATAATGCATACACTATGAAATAAAAAATATCAAATATAGTGGGACTAGAAAGTCCCGTCAGGCAATAAAGGGCTAAATTGTTACAGGCTTATCACAATTCCATAACCGAACAAATTTTGATCTTAAATCAGAAATAAGTTTAATACATCAGGTTATAAAGGAATTCAAAACCAAGCTTGGCTTGTTGGAGCAGAAAGTAAATCAACTAGAAACAACTGTTCCTGATTATGATAGAAAAATAGAAGCTCAACAGTATATGGTAAATAACACTTTAAATATAATTAGCCAAATAACATTAAATTACATTGATTATCTGGTTAAAGAAAATACAAACATTAAAGAAAGTCTTACAAAATTTTTTCAGATCATAAAAATAGCAAATTTTAAAATAGAGGAAATTACAGATATTTAATAATAAAAAAAGAAGAACGAATGATCTTAAAAATTTCTTTGTTAGGTACAAAGAAAGAATCAAATTCTATCAAATTTTTATAATTATAAAAAGTTTGCTCAGAAGAGCCATATAATAATTTGCGTATGTTATCTGATCTGACCAAAGAAACAAAACCATAGAGCAAAAAATCCTCCCATATTATATCATTTATAAGAACAAGAAAATAACAGTTTTACAAGCAAGTGGATACTAAAACTTTTTTAGACATAAACTTCAATTACATTTAATATTTTCATTAATTAAAATAGAATCTTATAAATTTAATAATCACTTAGAAAGATATCTGGCAATAATAGTCAATTATACTCTGCCTTATCAAATGCTGCAAAATCCTTATCAAGAAATTGAAAAAAAAATTCTATTCAACTGGTCACATTTTACTTCTTTATGTATAATTTCAGGCAATTTTAATGCTAGAATTGATAACTATAGTGAATCCTATTATAAAGGAAATAATCAGATAATCTACAATTTAAGAAATAGCCGCGATACCGGTAGTAATAAAAAAGAAAATCAACTACTAAATTTGTTAAAAGTCACAACTTTTATATTCTAAATGGCTGTACAGCCAAGGATTATCCCGGTAGACATACCTTCCTTTCATCAAGGAGCATCGGTAATAGATTATATAATATGCTCAGAATTCATAATAGATCACTGTATAAAATTTAAAGTATTATCTCTATGTAATACGTCTCTGTAATCCAACAAATGGTAGACAGACTCACAGCAAATTTTCAGTTAGGTACTACAATTTTATTGTCAAAAATGACAACTGCATTTCAGGTTGGCTCAATACATCCCAACCCCTCCTCGGTGCTAATTTTTAAAAATAATCAGTTCACCACAACAAATATACCGAGAGAAAAAAATTTTTCTTAAACACTTACTCTTAAGGATATAAAAATTGTGCAACGGATATCAACACAACTACAACATCAACACGTTATACTAATCGACCCCCCTATAACACTGTTGATTTTTCCGTTTTATATGAATTCCATGTTGTACGAGTCACTTAAATTTAACAAATACGTGTTCCGGGCTATGAACGGCTCACATATTTGTAAAATTTAAGTGACTCGTACAACATGGAATTCATATAAAACAAAAAAAATCAACATGGGGGTCAACTGTACATCACGCAGAACTGGGTATGTACTATGGTATGCTCAATGAATGAATGAATGTACATCAATACATTTCTACTATGTATTGATGTACATTCATTGTAAAGATCCATTGATGTACATTCATGTAAAGATCCATTGATTCATTGTAAAGATCCATTGATGTACATTCATGTAAAGATCCATTGAAGTATTTAATACTACATGATAACCTCCTCACTAAAAATAAAACTTTTTTCTGACTATTTTACGCAATTAATAATTAATAATGATGTATAAAAACAACAAACATTACTCACTGTAAAATTACAAACTATGATTTACAAAAATCAAGCAATAACACGGTGCTACTCAAACTGTGGTCTGCGGACCAGAGATGATCCATCTTATCTACATGAAATTAAATGAAAAGAAAAACAAAAACTGGGTGAATGAACACTGCTCTAACTCGTGTTGCACCAATTGTTTTAAAGTCTTTATGTAGTAGCCAATCGATCCCACATCTTACATATAAATTATTGTTACATAACTTTACATTTTTAAACTTAAACGATTAGTTAGGCTATATAAAACATATATTTTTATAAATTTGGATAATAAATTTATAAACATTTAATCTGAATTTTAAAGTAATTTGATTCTGTTCTCTTTTTAACAAGTTAATCTCGAAAAATAAATCGTCGTTGTCAAATCTTAACTCGTGAATTTCGTTATAGAATGTTACGGTGTTACGGAAGCGTAACTCGAGCAAAGTTCGGGTTGCCCCCCAAGAAGTAGTCACGTGTTAGCAATAAAGGCTGAACTCGTTTCTACATTCTGGCGGGAAGCGCGCTGTCGGACGCAACAACGAGTAGTTTCAACGTGGGCTCGGATAGTTCCGTTCTAGTGTCAATTATGTGGTTTTATGAATGAAAAATTACAAGTTGTGAAAGTGCAAGTCAATATATGGATATTATATATATATACCCGTGTAATTGGTAAGTGTCATCTCGAGTTTTTTTCGTAACTACTAAAATGCTATTGGAAGGCTTTTTTAATATTTTCTCTCTAAAAACGCATATTTTAAAATGCTATTGGACGGCTTTTTTAATATTTTGTCTCTAAAAACGCATATTTTAAAATGCTATTGGACGGCTTTTTTAATATTTTGTCTCTAAAAACGCATATTTTAAAATGCTATTGGACGGCTTTTTTAATATTTTGTCTCTAAAAACGCATATTTTAAAATGCTATTGGACGGCTTTTTTAATATTTTGTCTCTAAAAACGCATATTTTAAAATGCTATTGGACGGCTTTTTTAATATTTTGTCTCTAAAAACGCATATTTTAAAATGCTATTGGACGGCTTTTTTAATATTTTGTCTCTAAAAACGCATATTTTAAAATGCTATTGGACGGCTTTTTTAATATTTTGTCTCTAAAAACGCATATTTTAAAATGCTATTGGACGGCTTTTTTAATATTTTGTCTCTAAAAACGCATATTTTAAAATGCTATTGGAAGGCTTTTTTAATATTTTGTCTCTAAAAACGCATATTTTAAAATGCTATTGGACGGCTTTTTTAATATTTTGTCTCTAAAAACGCATATTTTAAAATTATAAATCCCGCCATCACGCTACTGTCGGTATTACGGACGTCGCCATCTTTTTCTTTCTCTGTCCGTTGTTCGCAATTTCTACGAACGATCGCTATTAACGAACGCACTGTACTCTAGGACGTGACGCAAGGTATAGTTATCCGGAAACGCGTCGGAGCTGTAGTCGCGTGACCACCTCGCTCTGTCGTCACCGCTCACGTGACTGGACGCCGTGTAGCCGAGGTCACGTGACACGAATTGTAAGCGTCCAACGTGCTACTCCGCGATGTGAACGAGGTCAAGCATTGGCGGCTTCCACCGTGCAGTCAGTAAGTAATCCGATGAGTTTTCGCTTATAGCTCTTATCATACGCGTCGCCCCCAAATAATTCTACGTGTTTAGGACACGTCTACTAGAGAGGTGTCTTAAGAGAGCAAAATTAGGAAAAAAGGGCCCATCAGTAAGGATAAAGAAAAAATTAGCAAGAAAAATAAACTCAGGGTTGACTAAAGAAGATAATATATACGCTTACTTTTTATCTAAATGATAAACTTGAAACAAGGCACAAATCAAAATTCGGATAGTTAAAAACTTTGCAATAGCAAATTGGACTTCAAATATTCCAACTAGCAGCTTTATAGGAAACTACCCGTGGAGGAATGCCTGTACAACTGCTGATCTCGATTTCTTTATGCAGCGCTCGACAAGCGCTTTACAGCGAACACACTGAAACTGGTTTCTAATTGGCCAACACTGCTCGTGACGTCATTTCGCTACACTCTCGTTTCATAAAGAAACGCAGGGTAACTGACTGATATTCCAACCTTTGTTTTATTTCATTGTCGGTAGATTTCTCCAACTAACCGACGTAATAAATAAATGGATTTTTTATAACAAGAAACAGATCGATTCTAGACGGAAAATATCGCAATTTGAAAAGAATCAATAATAAATTATGGGATGAGAGGAAGGAATTGAGCCGATGTAATCAGCTCGCATTCCGTTCGTCTCACACTAATATAAGTTTATTTTTATGTATTGAAAAATTTAATTTGTGATTAAAATAAATAATCATCCGGCGAAATTCTACAAACAAAACTTTTTTAGAAGTAATTCGTCACCAGAGGGATAAGGCCAAAATTTACATTTAACAGCGCATTTATCAAGTAAATATAAAGGACTGAAATTCCCTAACTGGAAAGGATGCAAGTTCAGGACGTCTGTAAGGCCGCCAGTTCCAATTCTTTACTTTTAATTGGATATTTTTGTGTGTTTTTTAAAAGAATGTTTTAGCCTGATGACATAGTAGCCTACAAAGAAAGGTCGGGTTGTCGATGGTGTTCTGGAACACATGATCAGAATAAATGGTGGTTTCAAAAAATAATTTTTGGACAGACTGTGTCTTTTGTGATTAAAAGAAAAATTTAATATTTCTATGTAAAGAAAATAATTATAAAGCAGTAATCTTTGTACAAATGTTTTTGTCTTGCTAAGAAAAGGAAGGGTTTAGAATCTATTTTCGTTAATTGTGCTTAATGAGTGGGTTCAAGGTGTGACAATGTTGCTATGCTGACCACATGCAGCAAACACCAAACTGTTCAAGCGAAAGAAATAATTGCTTTGTCTGTCTGCCAACCGTTAAACCTTAGAATTGCATATTTTCGGAAGATCCATGAAATATATCAAATATTGTTAAATTCCTTTCCTGCTACTGTCCCAATTAAGCATTTAAATTACTGTATTTATTAGGTTATTAGTTTGGTTTCCGTTCTTTTAGATTTAGATTTTTAGAAACTATTTTTCTATCGAAAGCAACGCTGGTGACGACAATCTGTCGGGACTGAGTGTTTTTTTTACGAATGTTTGAATTCGCTTTGTGGTTAAAAAACTGCACTCAACAGACGCACTCGTCGATGGTACCATAAAAATTAATGATATTAAATCATATAAATCTTTTAGTACATCTGAGCAACGCAGTAGAGAGGTTGAGGCAGACGTTTTAAACGTGTAAACGTGTTGGTCGGACGTTCGGCGCCGCTTTCCCGTAAGCCTAAAAGTTTGACAATGGTGTTTGGATAGTCGGTGGAATCACGCTCGACATTCCAAACACCATCGTCAAACTTTTAGGCTTACGGGAAAGCGGCGCCGAACGTCCGACCTACACGTTTACACGTTTAAAACGTCTGCCTCAACCTCTGTAGTATTATTATTATTAACGCGTAATAACTTCATTGTAATTACTTGTCCTCTACTTGTTAATATGTATGTTATAATAAACTATGAGATAAACATAAAAGAGAAACAATTAATAAAAATTTTTGAAATTTAAATACTTCATATTAAACATTCAATGATGATAATAAACTGCTTTCAGCTAAGTAATAATAATAAATATACTTAATAGAACTTTTAAATTGTGTTGAAACTTCAACACAATTTAATAAGATACCAGGTATCTATATTTTAAACATGTTAAACATTATAGACTTAATAAACCTACAGTAGAAACAGTTAAAATTATTATAAAAAGAGAAACATTTTCCCAATATCTCAATTAGAATCTCATAAACATATACAGTGGTACCTCAGGATACGAACACCCCAGCATACGAAATTTTCATGATACAACACGAAATTCGAACACATTTTTGCTCCACGATACGAACAAAAACTCACCATACGACGTTACATTAGTTGGCAACGCCATTTTCTATTCGCTTCTGTTCATCGGTCTCAGTCCGCGTGTTTGCTTCGTCGTGGAAGGATCTCGCTCGATAAAGGAAATCTCGAGGTATTATCAGAAAGTGACTGATTTTATTGAAAAGGAACATCCCGAAAAGGTTCACACTGGCCGTATTGCTGCTCGGAGTAATGACATTTGCCTAAGTCATTTTAGAAACATTTTAAAAAGTAGGCAACGCCAAATCTCTTTGGATAGATATTTTACCAAGCATCCAGTGAAAGTGCTGGTGGAAGTGAAGGAAAGAAAGAAAAAAGCAGTGAATAAAAATTTTTAAAAATATACATAAAACAACACTAATTTCTTAATCTTTTCTAAGTTATTTTTAAGTTATCGTTACATTATGTTATGTAACTTAAGTTTTAATATTATTTCCCTTCTCTCGCCACCAGTTTACACCTCCTCTGTCGTCTATCCTCAAAGGTAAAGTGCAAATAAAACTACATTTTTTTTTTAAAATCAATTATTATTGTATTATGTTTATTTATACATTTACAACTACAAAACGCATTTTTTTCAGTGTTTTCCTTACTAAAGTTATGGTTTTTTTCAGTGTACTACTTAGCTTTAATTTAAGTGTGTTTTTCGTGTTTGAACGAATTACAGTAGAGCATCGATTATCCGACTCAATTGGGGACTGGGGTTGGTCAGATAAATGAAAAAACGGATAACCGAAAAATATGAAAAAATACATTATTAGTATAGTATATTAGTATATCTCATGTAATTAGTATATTAGTATATCGCTATTAACCTACTTCGCGTTGAATTTTCATCGATGTTAAGCCTAACAAATAATTTTTTAAAATAATAATCGTAGCTATTGTATCGTTAAAAATTAGAAAATTAAAAAGTTAAGCCTCGTTTAAATACTGGCTCCCTTTCATAGTCGAATGAGTGTTGCCAGCTAAAACACGTAAAAGTACTATTAAAGTAGCCAAGACATAGCCAAATATTGTAGCGCCACATCACTAGCGGACTTTTGAATTTGCCGACTAGGACGGTCGGTTAACCGATGTGACGGTTAATCGGAGGTCGGATAATCGATGCTCTACTGTATTTGGGTTTACATGTAATTGTATGGAGAAAAATGATTCACTTTACGACATTTTCATGATACGATCTCATTTTCGGAACGGATTAATTTCGTATCCTGAGGTACCACTGGTACTAAGCCTTATTGCCATATTTTACTCAATATGGTATATTATAAGGCCTTAAACTTCACATATAGATTATTATAAAGTATCATTTATAAACAAGTTAAAAACTTTTCATATTTTTAATAATAAAGATTAATAATAGAAACTAAAAAAATACAAATTGCTATATTTTAAAAATAATAATGAATAAAGTAAAATGAATTACAGTACTAAATTTGTAATTCATATAACAACAACACAGGCTAAAATTCAGGCACTTTCTGCCATTCCATTAACTCGTTTCCAAAATTTGCATAAAATTTCGGTTAAAATAAATCTGTCAATATTCTTACCAAGCATATATACGATGAACCAATCTCCTAAAGACAATCGCTTAATTAACAATTCCAAATAAATTTCCCGTACAAGCCTGTAACATATGGATAAGATATACAATCACATCTTTCCACTTATTATTAAGATAATATGGTATATGACAGATATGGCACTCAATAAAATTAATATGATAAACCACAACCATAAAAGTATAAAAATCTTTTCTTTAATTACATTTAAAGTTAACATACACAAACGATCAATTTTTATTATATTACCGGACGATCCATAATAGAAAAAAAAAAAACAATTTGCTCATCCCCGGAAACGTTTCTAGCATTGGATTTATTACAGAATTATCATCGTTCATGTTATATTTAATTACTTCTATTCTGTAATTTAAGAATTCGCCATTTAAAAATACATTAATTAGACACAGTAATTCATAAGCAAAGTGATGAAGAGCGTAACAATCGTGACATCCCATACTTTCGTGTAGAAACTTAACTACAGCAGCAATATTTTCCCGCTTCTGAGTTTCTTCGTACATGATGTTGTCACTCTTCAGACTCTCAGAGCTCGAATTAAGCCATCTTCGCAGTGTTTCCACATCCCTCTTGGCACGTAGAAGAGGACAAACTGAAAGAACAGGAAGAAGCAAACCCTGTTAATATTTATGCTGATAGAAATGCTCTTGGTTTTGATATTTTGAATTGATTCCGGAAAAAATGCTTTCTTCTTTGCTCATATTTGGCTTCTTTACTGTAAATGTGCCGTGAATCCAACAGTAAGTATCCATCACGTGTTTGTCGATGTTGTTTCTTTCCATGCAGAGCATGGGTTCGCCGACGTATTGCTCTGCTGATAGAATGGCGCAGAAAACAGTAATATAATCGCGGTGTAAATATAATGGAGACGAAACACCATGCTATCTATTTCTATTCTGTTTATCCTCACTAGTTCTTTATTACATCAAATTTCAAAAGCTCCAACATTTTTCAAATTGAATATTTTACTGAAATGTCTTGGCGCGAGACTAAACCAACACCCTCAAAGTTCTTAATATTTTAGTTTAAAAAATTTTAATAATTTTTTATATGATTTAAATTTTATTTTATGAAATTAATTATTATAATTTTTTTATTATTTTAATTAAAACATCGTTAGGGTATTCCGGTAGTTTTTTTTATTAAACTCTTTCCGCCCTGTGGACATTAAGAAGGCCTCTTTTAGCAAGCCCATCGTGGGTTCGGCCAGGCCCACAATAGTGCGACTGGGTGGTGAGGGACGGGGTCCGACATATCCGGACGGACCCCCCCCGGAAGGCTTTGGAGTGCATGATCTTCTATGCTTGTTGTATTTGGTGGAAGGAATCTGCCAACGTCAATCAAGCAGGACCATGCTTACCATTCAAAGACTAGCTGCCCTACAGGTAACCCGTACGTACAGAACTGTGTCTATGGAGGCAGCCTTAGTCCTTGTGAACTATTCCGTTGCTCCTGGTAGTCAGCCAGAAGGCAGCCTTCTACAGAACAACAGTGGAAGGTTGGTTTAGAGGCGAAACACTGTAATCAGAGGTACCCAGTTGTCCAACTCGGATGTCAGGCAGACATACTGGGAGTCCCGCATATAGGATAGGTCTAGATTGGAAAGTCGGTGAACCGACGAACTGCGGTGTTGAAATATACACTGATGGCTCGAAAGACGGCAGCCTAGTAGGTACAGCACCTACTAGGCTGCCGTCTTTCGAGCCATCAGTGTATATTTCAAAATAGGTGCTGTACCTACTAGGCTGCCGTCTTTCGAGCCATGTATTGCGTCTTTTCTGATGGAGTTCAAGTGTACTGTCAGTCAGTCAGTCTGAACAAGGAGACGTACGTGTTCCAGGAAAAACTGGTGGCCCTGGAAGAGTCTTCCTAGTGGATCCTACGACATCCGGGCCCGGAGCCGGTCACGGTTTACTCCGACACCCAGTCGTCGCTTCAGGCTTTGAGCAACGAATACCATCGACACCGTACGGTGCTGGAGATCAGAGGTAGGGTACTGAGGGCAAGGCACGAACGGCGAGTTGACCTGAGATGGGTCCGAGGCAGGGGCGAATTTTCTGGGCTTGCTTAGCATGTGCCGCATGCTTAAGAGAAAGTTTTGACTGCAGCTCAAAGGAGAGCGCTTATCCAAATTACTAGGTCCTACTGCACCGCCCCGAACACCTCATTGCAGATACTGGCTAGGAAGGCCCCTATCGATAAAGTCATTATTATGCACTCAAAGATCTGGCACATTAAATGGGACCGGAACATTAGCACCAACAGCCAGAACATAATGCACGAGGACTTCGAGAAAAATATACCATTCGCTCACTCCAGACATCCGTCAACTCCGAACAATATCCACTTTTGGACTCCCAATCATTCTGATATTCATATTTACACTCTCGGCTCAAAAACCCACTCCGACATTGGCTGCGGCTATGTTGCCTACAATAACAACGGCATGGAGATTGCTCTCGTACAGTGTTCCAGGCTGAGCTCTTCGCTATCAGCATGACTGCTTCTTGGGACGATCAGCATCATCATAATAAAAACATCACCATTACCACGGACAGTGCCTCTGCTCTGGCTTTACTTCAATCTCAGAACTTT